GGTTCTCCTCAGCAGAGCACGAGTCTGGGCCTGCATTCAAATGCATCAAAAAGCTCTAAAACACCATTCCTGCGGCATGGAAAAACGGTCTCCGGTTTGTTGCTTGGGCTAGTTGCATTGAATCTCTTTCCTCTCGAAAAGAGACTGCAAACCCAGAGGATGGATTGTGTGTGATTGCTCTGGCAGCACAAAGGCAAGGGGTGTCCCTCGGGGAGGGTTCCCAGCGCATGGTTGGCTTGTGAAGTTCTGCTCCGTCCCTGATGGGAGCAGATGGACGCTTGCAGATGAAGAGCTGCAAGTGTCCTGCGGGCTCAGAAACGTGGTTTAGCAGTGGGAGCTGGAGCAGCTGAAGCTGAAGCAGTCCCGAGGCTGCCGTGACTTACCATCAAGGCCCCTGCTGCCCTGGAGCAGCTCCGACCAGGGGTGCAGCTGCCACGCCGCCCTGTCCCTGGGCTGAGGAGGCACATCTGGGCCTGTCTGGCAGCTGGAGAGCGGTTTGGTGCTGCCCTGAAGCAGGGCCTCCCGTTTGCTCCTTGTGGGGGTAGGAGGTCACAGCGCAGGTGGCAGCGCTGGAAAAAAAAAGTCAACTTTAAATGTCTGAGTGGTTAATCTTGTTTGACTGTGTAGAAGAGGAGTATGATGATGATGCTCAGGTAGTAGAAGACGAAGAAGATGAGGAGGAAGAGGAGGAAGGAGAAGAGGAGGATGTCAGCGGAGAAGAGGAGGTAAGGATTTATGCAGTTAATAATGGGTGAGGGGGGAACGTTCTCCAACTGGGAATAGTCGGGGAAAAAAATGCCCCAAGTACTGGAAGCTTGTAGTAGTTGAAGCGCGTGCTTTCTTTTTGACTTGGGAAGCCTCGCAGCGCGGGGTGGCTTTGAGGCACGCCTGTCTATGAGCCAGCTGCCATCTAGTGACCGCTGACATGAAATCCTTCTGTCTGTTGGGCTGATGTCAACAATCCTGCCAGCAGCGCCTGCGGTCCTGGTTTGTGGGGCCGTTGGAGGGCTGGCGTTACAGCCTCCGGACCGACGGGAGAGCGGTGCGTGGATTACCGACCCCGTGCTCGCAGAGCAAGGTTCCTCCTTCGGCGTGGACCTTGTGACGCTTCAGGGCGCTTGAATTCTTGCTGCCGTCCAGCTCCCGTGTGCTGAGGCGGTGACAGTCTGCCGAGACCGCCGGGAGCGGGGCTGAAATTTGTCTGTAGGAGGTTGTCTTACCTGTCCTCTGGCCAGACGGCCTTCGAGACTGAAGGTGTGGGTGCTCGGCTGCTGCTCAGACCAGCAGCAGCTCCTCAGGCTCTGGAGATGTCTCTGCCCCTGCAACGTGGGCCTGCTACTGACCAGCTTTTACGAGACTTGGGGCATGAAGTATCAGCGTGAAGTATGAAGCAATTTTCTCGCTGAAGACTTGACGCTAGAAGTGGCTGCTGTGATTGCTTGTGATTTTCTGCAGTGAAACCGGGGCCAGAGTCCAGTTACGCTGTAGGAAAAAACTGCACTTACATAAGTGCGTGGGAAGCGTCCGCCTTTTTGTTTGGTTTTTGTTGAAGATGCTTCAAGGACTTTCTCTCTGTTGTAAAATGCTGTTGGGTATTGCCAAATTGTGAAGGATCCTGCACTGAAAGCAACTCTTTCAATCTTCCTTTTTTTTTTTTTTTTTTGTCTTTTTTTTAACTCCAG